CCCCCCCCGACTTGTTCGGGCCGCGCGCACATCGATCTCATGATCGATCGATTGCCCCTCGCAAGACAAAGGACGATTTTTATTCCGTTCCGGGCGAGCTGCCCGGCCTAGGTGTTCGTCGACGACGGACGACGCGTAATGCGAAACGCGTCGCGTCGTATTGCGGTGTGTTTCGATGTGTTGCAGAGCTATTACGTGTTAGGCGAAAACTCGCCGCCACTGTTGGCGCAAACTTTTTTGTTCGGGTTACTAGCGCGGCCAGTGTAGCGAATCTATTTGGCCGTTTCCGGATCGTTATGCGCGCGCGGTTACGTGAGCTCAATTACGCGATGCAATTACGATAAAGTATTGATCGCAATGCATATCCGAAGTTTGTGAAATATCGCTCCTACGCTCAGAATCCTTCACGCGGCACAATTAATTACAATTTTCCTGCTTCTCGCGGAGGAGACCCGTCAATTAACGCAGGGATGAAACTCGCCTTGCGCAAATATTGAGGGTCGGATCGAGACACATCGGCGATTTGCAGTGGTACACGAGTGGCCGATCAGACTTTTCGCTTGTGCGATCGCACTCAATAGGAGGAGGATAGACGCAGGGGGTCATCGCTTCGTTTGGGAATCTATGCGGTGGCGGGATCAGCTGTTTCGAATGAACGTATCTACGGCCCGTGGAATCTGTACGCGGGCATGAATACGTCCACGTGTGTATACGTGCGCGCGCGCGTGTGTGGTCGCACGGAGGTATCGGTATAAAACACACACACTCACACATACGGCGATACTTGCATCGCGAAGGGTCTCCCTACAACGAATCTGGGTCACCGGGCCGATGAGGGACGATGAGGGGTTGACCGGCCGAAAGAGAGAAGAGAATGCTAGACTCTTTTCTCCCCTCCTGTCGCTACCAGCCTCGAATCGTCTATGACGAGATAATCGGCGACCGGCTACGGTCTTCTCTGCCGGACGCTGTTTTTCGCACTCTGCTCGAGCGGAGTCGAGAGAAATACGTTGAAGATATTGAAGGGGATATTGAGCGGAGGCGGGGGAGGAGGGAGGGGAAACATTGGCGCTTCTCCCGATGGAAATGCACACGCATACGATGTAGTGCGAAATTTGTTTTCTCAAGATTTGACTTCCTCCAATTTGAGACTAGTCTGAGCTGGACAGACCATCTATTGCGTGCGAATAAGAATATTCTGCGCGGTTCTGCTTTCCCCTTCTCCACATAACGAAAAGTTTTTTAATCAGCAACATATCCGCGAGATTAAGTATTCTGTTTGCTATATTCGCCTGTGCAAAATTACCCGTGCCCATGCACTTGTGATTTTCATCTCTGTCCCGCGAATCGAGACACTCGATCGCGGCAAAGTTCACCTCCAGGAACTGTCGGCGGATACGGGCGCCTTGGGTATGGCACAAAGATATTAAGCACCCATACCCTAACCGTGTCGAGCTACGGAGAGCGTAGACTATCCTATGTGCCGCCGTTGGTGGGGATGGAGAGGCGGAGGAAACGTGGAAGCGCGCGGCGGAGAGGGGGTAGGTGGACTAAGGGTGGGTGAAGGCGCAAGGGGGTGTTAGAGCAGGAGAGAGATCGCAAGGAAAGCGGAGTTACCTACAGAAGAAATAAGTGCGCGCGTGTAATGCTGATGGCGAATATGGTAGAGGAGATCTGAGGGAAGAGTAGAGAGG